CAATAAAGGTTTATGAGAAGAGGTTAGTGAAAAGAATATTTAACAGATAATACATATTATTAAAAAAGAATTAATAATAATAGAAATATCAATTTATCATGACTCTTGTAGAAGTTTGAATAAAAAGAAATAGAAATAACTATTTATATAAATAAAATATATAAACAGATATATTGTATGTTTTTACAACAATTAATATACTTGTAAAAACAAATATAAGAAATAAAAATTATAATAGAATAAGTAAAATAAACGAAAGAACTATTACAATTTGAAACAGAATAAATAATAATAATAATAATAATAAATATAACACACATTAAATAATACAAATTAAATACTATTTCAATTAAAATTTGCATAAATTTGAACTATTTTAAATTAATTGATGTTTGTTTTATTTATAACTTACTTATTATAGTAATATAATACATCATATTTACTATATTGTACTTGCTCATTAGATTAATGTAATTATTTAAATAATAAACTAAACAACAATAAATAAAGTAATGAAAGAAAATACAATAAATTATAAATTAAAAACAAATGATGATAATTTAATGTAAATAAAATTATAAACATAAAATGAAATAAATAAAATAACAAATCAAATTTAATAATTAATAAAATAAATACAAATAACCAATAAAATAAGATAATAGAATAAAGAATAATCAATAACAATTCATCATTCATTAAATATAAATAATTTATAATAGTTAATATATTTATATTATTATAAATGAAATTGAATTAAAATTTAAATATAATAAATATATAACATAAAATAAGAGAATATAAAGAGAATGTAATAATAAAATAAGATATATTCATTCTTATTATTTATTATATTTTATTTATATTTTATTTTGTATTGATTTTATTTTATATTCTTTTTTATTTTTTATATTTCAAATAAATAATAACGAATAAAAATCATTTCATTTCAATTACAATAATTCGTTGTGGTATGAAACGATCTGGATATTGTTTTCCACAAAGTACATTTGATATTCCTTTATATGAAAATGAATGTTGATTACAATATGATATTGTTTTACTCTTTTCTTTACCAATAACGATATCATGTTCATATTGTCCAAATGCAAACAAACAATCATCTGATTGATTATTTAACCAAAATGCATATTTTGGATCATTAATATCAAATTTCATCATTCCTTGTATTCTTCCTTTTGATTCTATTGAAAATAAAAATGATTTTGGATCATTTATCCAGCAAACTTTATCAATTTTCTCATTAACATATCCTCCAAATTTATTTCCATCTGTATCTTCAATAATAATTATGAGATGTTCTTTATTTATTAGTCTTTGATCAAATACTGATGTACCTTTATTCCAATCATCAATATCTGAATCAAATAGTATATTGGATACTTTTCTATTTGTCCATTCTTCTGGTTGTTGAATTTCTTCTTTTGTACTCATTCCTTTCATTCTTTGAAATCTATATTCTTCTTCTTTTTTCTTCTTCCTCTCAAAATAATCACTGTAATGTGTTTCCCATTCTTCTTTCTTTTTGTTAAATTTTGTTTTAATATTGTTAATTTCTTCTTCTAATTTATTAATTTTATTTTTCATATCCATTTCTTCCATGTGAATGATTTTGTCTATTAGTTCATTCTTAGCTTTATTAACTGTTTCTGAATCATCATTACATTCTTCTATTATTTTCTTCATTTTATTCTTTATTATTTCTATTTGATTAATTGTTTCTTGTACTTTTTCTATTACTATTCTTCTTCTTCTAACTACTTCATCCATCCTATCAAATATTCCTTCTCCTCTTTTAACTGCTTGTTCATATGTTTCATTATCTTGTTTCTCAAATATTTCATTTTTAATACTTCCTAAATAATAATGATAATGTTTAGTAGTATCATCAATTGATTGTTGAATATTTGGAAGTGTTTCTATTTCTTCTTTAAAGAATAGAGTGTTCTTGTTTATTAACTCTTCCATTTTATTTTAATTAATATCAAATTAAAATAAGATGATTAAACAACTAAATACACGTTTATAACATTTCATTTTATTTATTACTATAATAAAGATCATTTCATTTTATTATATTTTATTATATTTTTTATTTGTTCATTGTTAATTTCTTATTCAACTTTTATTTACAAATTCATTTATTATTCTATTTCTTTATTTTCTTGTGTTTTTTTTCTTTATTGCTTTCGTATATATAGTTCTTCCTCTTTTATGTCTTTTATTCATTTCTTTGTTTTGATTATTATCTTTATTTCTTTCTTATTTTCTTTAATTGAGTCTTTAGATTTCTCCATTACCTTTTCTTTTTAGTGAATATACTTCTTGTTCTATGTCATACTTTTTTCGTTATCTTTCATTCCTTTATATTCACATTATTCAATTTCTTTTTTTCTTGTTTTTTTTTTACTTTAATTTCATTCTTTGTTATACTCTTTATTTCTTATTGACACTATCTTATTATCATTATGTTTACTCATATTTTTCTTATATTCTTTTTTTTTTCATTTCTTATTTCTCTTTTTATTCATTTTCATTGGTATTTCTTTTACCATTTCTTATTAAACATTTTATTGCTATTAAAGTTTACTCTTCTGTATTCCTTTAAATATTTATTTCTTGTTTTTTTCTTTACAATATTCAAAGACATTACTCAAAAACAATAATAATAAAATTTGTTATAGTCTTTGTACAAAAAGTGACAAACAATAAATCGTATAATAGTGTATTTGTATTGATTATTGTTCTTTTTATTTTGATTGTGTTTGTTTATTAGAATTATTATTGATTTTGGTAAAATTAGAAATATTAATAAAATGTTTTATTTCTAAGTTTAATTCAATTCTTGATATGTTCTTATCTTCTTTTATTTTTCATCCTTTTTTTTTAATTGAAACATTTAAATTAAAAGAAAGTCTCTTCAAAGAAAAAACATAATTCAATAAAAACTGAAATGATGAAAGAACCACCAAAAAATAACAGTTGATTACGTTTATTAGATTGGTCTCTTTTGCCTCTTACCCTGGAGAGATAAATCCCATCTTCAGTTAATGAAAACAGAACAAAAGAAGAAAAATGGAAACGAAATACTTTTTTATATTTAGAACATTTTTTTGATATATCTTAGTTAAACTATTAAAGTTATTTCTAATTTTGTTTTTTATTACAAAAACCAGGTTTAATAACAAAGTGTTTTTCAATTATTTTTTTTTAAAATAAAAAAACATAAATAATAAAAAAAGTTAATAAATAATAAAAGAACTTATTAAAAAAGTTAATGGACGAATTACTATATTTAATCGTTACACTTGTAGTAATTCATTATTTATCATCAAAAAACAAATTATATTACCTTAAGCACAATAGTAATTTTGTTTCAAAAATATCAATGAGTTGGGACGACTTAGTCTTTGTTCTGTTTTGTGGTTTAATAATTATGTTAGTAGAATATTACTTTCCATCACTCTCTGAGAATTTAGTTTTCACAATAGTATACATGTTAATGTCAATTTGTTTATACCTAACCATTCAACCAATAGTCAACAATCTTCCCTTACATTCTTTTATTATTAAAAAAGGAGTATCAATTACAGTAGTTTTTATAATGGTTTTAATTTATATTATTAATCCAAATTGGTGGTTAACAAATATTATTGCAATGTGCATTACTATTTCAATTCAAACGTTATTACATTTTGATAAAGTTCATGTTCCATTGGCATTGATAGTAGGACTATTTATCTATGATTTAATACGAATTTTTAGAAATTGTCATATTCCATTTTATGATGGTAAATCAGTTTTAAAAGGATTATCCAAAAATTCTACAGCATATCGGATACCATTATATCTTGAATTTTATAGCATGTTTAGTGCAGGACATTTTATTATTGGATTAGGTGATATTATTTTTCCAGGAATTTTCATTTCATACTTATATTGTATCGACTTCTTATTTAAAACTCGTTATTTTCTAATTGGTGTCATTAGTTATTGTTTTGGAATAATTGGAACAATACTATTGATATGGAATTATCAAATGGGCGTACCTGCATTACTGAGCATAGTTCCAGCAATGGTTATTCTATCACTTATTTATTCTATAAAAACTAACACATTAAGAAGTGTACTTAGTCTTTCATTAAAAGGGGGGTTTGACTTATTATCTCAAAAATTAAAAGGGTGTACTAGTACAACAGAAGAACTAACTGTTCAAATAGATTAATAATTATTTTGCTTTCATTTTATTTTTATAAAAACCATTAAGAAATAAGTGTTAAGAAATACTAATTAATTCATTTGTTCTTCAAGTATTTTAGAAGAGTACAACTTCTTTTGGAAGTGTTTTGCTTCATTTGCACAATATGGTAATTTTCCAGTAGACATTTTTCCTTGGGATAAATGACAATTGTCAAACGTAAATTGAATAATTTCTCTTAATGATAAACCAGTGTTATCATATAATACAACATATTTTAGTGTTTTACATATTTCAGGTTTAGCATTTAAAATGAACCCTTTGACATTTTTATTAACTAATGGATTAATAACAAAAGTACCTTCTTTTGTACTTTTTAATTCTCCATTTTCTTCTATTGCAATAGCAGAAGATATATTGTCTGTTGTAATAAAACACACTTTAATTTCTTCACCACAACTTTGTTTACAAACTTTTAAAAATTGTTCAACTTCTCCAAACCTAATTGCCTTCATTAAGTTATCAGAAATACCACATCTATAAACAAATATTCTTTTTAATCTTCTTCCATACAACCTTGGTTTTAGTATTTGTTCTAAACCAATTCCACTATGCCAGTTATCATTAGATACAAAATATGAGTCTGTGTCAAATACGTTTAAATTTTCATCTTTTGAAATACAAAGAGTAATTAAAGTTTTATTAACAAAAAATTCACGTGAAGTTATTCCAATAACACAAATGTCAGATGTATTTTGATCTAATTTTAATCTAGAACACCCTATTTTTATTCCAGTTCTTAAACAAAGACTTGTTATTTTTTTATCATCATATCTCTCATTTAAATCAATTATTTGTGTTGGAATATTCCCATATATCATAAAATAATCTTTAATTTCTACCATTTGTTCAATAGAATCAAATACTGAAAAAACAATTTGAGGATGACTATTAAGAATACTTAAAAATGTCTTTTTTGGTGATTCTCTTGATGATTGTGAAACAATTTTTGGTTCTCTGCATGTTACTCCAAGTTGTTTAAATTTAGTAAGCATTGAACTTATTATTTGTTTAACTTTTGTAATCAACGAACTCTTACAGTACACAAACCAATTTGTTAATGGTACAACTTTAATGAAACTATCAGAAAATTCCCAATTTTCATCAGCTTCAAAACTACCTTGACTTGTAAGTAATTTAGTTTTATGACATGAATGTGCTTTACAACAAAGAACGTTATCTTCAATACTCAACCCCCATGCTTCTGCAACAGGAGATTCTTTTATAGTTTTTAATGCCTTAGTAACAACTTCTAATGTTTCTTGAAGAGGTTGAACCTGTTTCACTCTAATAACTCTATGCATTAATTGAGGGACATAATAAGCATATTCTACTCTTCCAAATTTTCTTTGTTTTTGAACCATAAGAAATTGATTTGGATCAAAATGAACTGTTCCTCCATATCGTTGGGTATAGTATTGTAAAACAGAGACTTCCTGATCTCTCCAGAAAAATTTTTGAGAATCAGGTGTTTCATTCATTTTGATTTCATCAACCCATTCTAGTTGTTTTGATACTTCATTATAATACCATGATGGTCTGAATCTAATTGCAATTTCATCATAAGAATATCCTTTTGATTCTTCTAAATAATTTTCTTCAACAACCTTTCTATCTGTAACAGGAAAATGAACATAAAAATTATCTTCCATTCCATTAACATAAACATCAAATGATTGATGGATATTATTACTTTCACTAGTTTTTAATTTATAACAGAAAATATGTTTTTTTTGATATTGGTATTCTGATGTTCTGTATAAAGATGATTTTATTATATCAGCAGCACGAAAAATATCAAGAGAACTCTTTATTGGTGTAAAGGTAATTGTAAAAGATATGTCCTCAATATCAACTTCTGCCTCTTCTTCAATAGGCTCATTAAGGTAGATATTATTATGATATACATAGAATAACTTCCCTCTAAAATAATCAAAAATGATATTTCTTGCTTCTTGATAAGATTGTAATTCTGGCTTAAATGAAAATTGGTAAGAATAATAATTGGATGAATCATTACTAATTTTATGGAATAGTGTAGTGATTTCAAAAGAATCAGAACCATCTACATCTTCATATTGTGGAATTAAATCAGTAAATTCTTTTGGATAAGGATCGTCCCAACATAAATCAACATTTAGGGAAGGAGAATAGTCCGAACAAAAGTCTCTTAATACTCCAACTTGTTTCATTTAATTTGATAATACTAAGTTTTCTTAAATGAACCCCATTTTGATATGTATAACAAAAACTATTATAAAATAAAAAGAAAAGAAGAAATTACCTATTAAAGATCCTTCTTTGGACTGTGTTTATTTAAATTATCAAAATCTTCATCTTTCATCTTCTTTAAATCATCAAGGATAATACCTCTCCTTTCTGCTAAGTATTTTTTAACCTCTTCATCCTCAAAGAATTTGTCTTCTTTAACTGCTCTAAGAAAATCACCAGCTTGTTCTTGAGCTGTTTTAGCAACCCACGTTATTAAATCATTTTCAAGTGAGTTTTCAATCTCTGTCTCTGATTTCATATTGTTCATTAAACGTGCCACTGCAAGATCGACAATACGTTCTCCAAAAATAACGTAAGGAGATTGTATAGTTAATTGATATAATTTATAACTTGAAATTGGTACTTTATTAAGAACGGTGATGGCAACTTTTTCAAATATTTCTTCAAAAGCGTCTTGAAGTAATTCACAATCTTTTTCATTCTTTTGATTTTCCATACACCTTAAGTTTAATATTTTTCCCCATTCGATCCATGGATCTTGGGCAACAGTAAATTGAACCAAAAAGAGGGATGCCAAAACAAAAAACATCTTTTAAATATTTAAAGTTTTTTCAGTTTCTAAATGTTGGGATTTGAGATAATTCAATCCATTCTTCTTGGGTGGTATTACTTGTTTTTTGTGTTGAATGAGATGACACAGATATAGTCTCATCATCGTCAATAACAATTGGTTCCATGTCGTCATCAATAACATATATTTCTTTTACTTTTTGAAATTGGGTGACCATACCTTTCAACTCTTCTACTATCCCTTGAACTTCTGTTACCGTTTTTGTAGTGTTTTGATTCCCATTCCATTGTATTTTTTTTGTTAGTTCAAAAGATTTTTCAGAAATAAAAGAATTCATCATTTTTGATTGTTGAATCATTGTATTTTTTATCGTCTCAAGACTGTCCCCTGTCTCTTCCATTTTTCTATCAATTTCTTGTATTTCATTATTACATTGATTAAGATATTCTTGCAGTAATTGTATGTCTTGAATATTTTTTTCCATGAAAATTATTCTTTCTAAAATTATTGGTCAATTTATTCTAATTTCCTTTCATTTAGAATTTGACATCTGAAAAGTATTTGAATAATCATAATAAATAAAGAAAAAAAAAATAAAAAACCATAATTTTAAATTGAAGCAAAAATTAAATGACAGATGAAATCCCATTTATTGTAAAAATACTTTTGTTTAATATGAAAATTTGGACAATAAGTTTTAATTCTCTCCTTTAGCCCTCCTTGCAGCTCGTTCTTTTTCTCTAGCCTCTCTACGAGCCCTTCTCTCCTCAGGAGTTGATGGAGTTCTTTCAGGTTTTTCAAGAGTGCTAGACCGATCTCTGGTAGAGTGGTGTCGATGACCGTCATCACTTCCAAGAGATGTTTTACTTCTGTCTCTATGGTGGTGAACTGTTGTGGTAGAGTCTTCTTCTTCATCAATCAAAGTCTCACTAGATTTATGTTTGTTGATAAGATCCTCAGCATCTTTGCTAGCTAACGCAAGTTCTGCACTAGTAGAAGTAAGTGCACTATCATCATATAACATTTCTCGTTCTTTCTTTTTTGCTGCTCTACGAGCAGCACGTTTTTGTTCTCGTTCTTTATCTTTTTCTGATTTTTCTTTGTCTTTTAACTCTTCAATTTCTCTTTGTGCGTCTTTCTCTTTTGATAATAAATCTTTACGTTGTTCTTTAGCCTTTCTTAATTGTTTTTGAGCAGCATCAACTTTATCCTTTTCTTTCTTTGTATCTTCTTCTAAATCCTTTAATGAATTTTCAGCTTTAGTTAACTCATCTTTCTTAGAATCTATTTGACTTTGTGCATCATTGGCTTTAGCCTTAGCTTGTTCTACCATTTCATTCTTTCTTTTCTTAACAATTTCATACCGTTCTTGCATTTTAGCCAATCTTTCAGCAGCAGCCTTTTCTGCATCTTCTTGCATTTGTTTATATGATTGTTGTTTTAATGCAGCTTCATCTCTAAGAGCAGCAGTACTTTTCTTTTTACTTTCAGTATCTCTTGCAAGTTGTCTTTGTCTTTTTACAATCTTATTCATTTCAGCTTCAAGTTCTTCAACTTGTTCTTGTGTCATTTTAAGTAACCCCTCTTCATACTCTTTGTTTGAAACTTCTCTAGTTAATTCAGCTTCTGCTCTTTTCTTTCTTTTCTTTTCTTCTTCTACTTCAGCAGAAGATTTTTTAGCTTTTTCTGTAGCAGCATCTTTTTTCGCCTTTGCTTTTTTGAAATGTTCTTCCATTTTTTCTAAATTCTTTTCTAAACTTTCTTTTTGTTTTTGTTCTTCTCTAATACTACCATCTAAAACGTTTAAGTCATAAGTATATTGTGAATGAATATCTTTTAATTGATTGTTTTTAGCTGTTTCATCATCCAAATTTAATGTAAGTTCTTCTGTCATTTGAGTCCATTTACGTAAACTATTTTCAAGTCTTGCCATTGTCTTTTTATGATTTTCTTTTAACTCTTCAGTGTCTCTAAGTAATTTTTCTCTCTTGTCAGCTAATTCTTTTTGTTTTCTTTCTTCTTCTTGCATTTTCAATTTTAATTCTTGAAGCTCTTTTTGTGTTTCTTCCCTAATTCTCTTTAGATTTTCATTTTCTTTTTTTGCTTCTTCTAACTGAAGTCTCAACTTTCTTCTTTCAGGGGTTTCTTCACTTGTTTTCTTCAATAATGCCTCATACTCTTCTTGCATTTTTTTCATTTTAGCTTCATGTTCTTTTTGTCTTTGCTCAATTTCAATTTCTCTTTTTTTCTTTGCCATTTCTTGTTCTTGGATTTCTTTTGTTATTCTTTCTGAAGAAGAAGTTTGGTTCATAATATCTTTCATTAATGCCTCTTTTTCTTTAAGCTCTTTATCTAATTGTTCTTTTTGACGTTGAACATCATCTTGTTTTTGTTTAACATCTTGAGCACGAACAACAGCATCTCCTAAAACGTCGTCTTGTGCTAATTTTTTTAAATCGATAGATCCATCAAGGATTTTATTTGCATCTAATAAATTAGTTTTAATTTTTTATATTTTTTCTTTATATTATTTTTTATAAATTATTAAAATTAAACAAACCAGTTGAGTCAATCATAGTACGATCCCTATTTCTTTGAATTGTACGGATCATTAAAATATATGTTTGAATCGTTTCTGAATCAACATTTTTTTCCATAAATTTCTCTTGTGGAATACGTGCATTTCCTTCAATAAATAATTTCTTTTCTTCACATTGTTTGTACACATAACTTTTAATTGTACGAGATGTCTCAGTAGCATATTTATCGAATGTCTTTTGATCTTTGTCTAACGAACAAAGAAGAGCTAAAAACGCTTTACCATCAACAAAACTATCATTACTTATTATATTAATATTGAATTTCTTTACTGTTTTCTTTGCCCAATTAAAGTAATCGTCCATTCGTTTTGGAGAGTTGAATTGAAACCCAAGTTTTAAGTTCACCGTTTTTGATTGGTTTGAATCTCAAATTCTATTTTTGGTACGGGGTATTTTAAGAAAGGGTTTTAGGAAAAGGGTTTTTCGTTTGGGACGAAAAGAGAGAGTAAAAAAACCATAAGATATAGTTTTTTGTTAATAATTATATTAATTCGTTTTTGAGTGTAAAAAATGTTTAAAATTTTGGGATTTGTTTCATATTTTTGTTTTATTATTCTTTCTTTTCTAACATTTTGTATTAAAGTTGGAACAAAATCCTTTTTTATTAAGATCATTTAAGATAAAACAATGAAAGGAAAGAGTGTTTCTTTTTTTTGGCAATGGGAACAAAGGAACATTTGTGGAATGAATAACAAAAAAATACTGAGTTATTTCCAAAAGGAACAAAGAGTATTTAGGTGATGAGTAGTAATACAATGAAAAATACAAGACTTTAGGTTCTAAGTTTATTCTAAGGATTCTGGACGAAAAAAAGAGATTTTAGGTAAAGCACCACCAATATATTTTTTTGAGTTAAGTTCATATTCTTTTCTTCTTTTATTAAAGATCAACATGGAACGTTTTAAAAGGATGAAATTTTTGTCATTTAGTTCTAAGTGTTTTAAAATATCTTTTAATAATTCAATACGTTCATTTAATCGTTTTACTACATTACAATCAAAAGATAAAGAATTATAATTAACTCTACAGCGAGATGAATACAATTGAAGTTCTTTTGGATGTAAAGAATCTAATTTAGAGAAACGGGCAAGAGTGATTCGATATAATAAAATGGTTTGAAAAGCAAATTGAACTGAATCACACCAATGCATAAAGAAATATCTAAAGTATTGTTCTAATAATAAATCAAATATAATTCTTTTACGAGAATTACCATTTAAATAAGGAAGTAATTCAATAAGTGATACTAATAAATTAGTTAATGCTTCTGCATTATCAGTTGTAATAAATATTTTAATAATTGTTAAAAGTGATTCAATATCTAAATATTCATCAATTATAAAATTTGGATGAAGATCAATTAATAATGTTAAACATCGTTTAATATAATCAGATAAGAATATTACTTTTTCAATGTTATATAAATTAGTTGAATGAGCATATATTTTTAATACTTTATTAAATTCTTTAGGCATTTTTTTAATCATTGCATCTTCACACATAATATAAATAATATTTCTCCATTCATGTGATTTCCAAGATAATATCCTCCATTTAATAAATTCATTAATAAAGTCTTGGAAATCATCAGAATATTCAAGTGATTCACATTTGGTTTTAGAAACAAACAAAATTGATCCTCTTAATACTGATGCAACAAATTCACCTCTAGACCTAAAAGGCATATAATGAATTTCTTTTAAATGAACTTCATCACTAATATACATTGAACTTCCAGATATCTTTTTGTCAGCATCTAACATTGGGGATGTTTCTCCATAAGGAGGAGTTCCACAAGAAATATCATCTACTCTATCAATAATATTAGAATGGATTGATTCTTTTAGAGAAGGAAGAGCATATGATAATGACGTTAATAATACTCCATATATTACAGTAAATGTTAAAGGAATTGTTTGAATAATAGTTTTTTGTTCTCTTATTTTTTCAAGTAATTGAGTTAAAGAGGCAAATGTATCTAGACACAGTGCTTTATACATAAGAAATGTTGGTAATAAAATACTACTTTTATTCTTTGAAATAAGTGAAGAAACTGATTTAATTGCTTCACTAAATGATTAACAATTATTATTATTATTAAAGATAAATAAAATATAAATGAATACAAACTATGAAACACAATTAGAAATATGAGACATAATAATTATAGTTGATTGAGAAGAGTAACCAAAAGAAATTGCTTTATTTAATTCTTTCCAAAATGCAAAAATAATTTTATAACAATGATTTAATGCACCAACACTAATAGTTTGTTAACTTTTTTTTTATATAAAATTACATTTAAATATTAAATTCTTTTTTTTTCTTTTATTAACATAAAAACAAACGTAACAACAGGTAATGGAATGTATTTTACTGTAATAATTTGATCAATAAAAGAATCTATGGCATGCTATTAACGTTAATTCATTTTAATAAAATAATAAAAGAAATTAATTCAAACTGCATCATTATTATTATTTAAAAGAAATAAATGTAAAGATGGAGTGATTTCACTCATTGAGATTAACATAGGTTGATAATCTTGACTCATATTATTAATTGAAATAAGAAGATGAAAAGAGTTTTGACCTCAAATTTATTAACTTCAATTTAACCTAAATTAATACAACAATGGAAATTTTAAATAAAAAATAAATTTTAAAGTTTACCAATCATTGTTGTCATTTCTTTTTGAAGTTTATTAGTGAGAAAATCATAACTAAAGATTGTTTGAACATTTCCATGGAAAATATTTACATAACATTGTGTTTCTTTTTCTGCTTTTTTATCTCCAAATGTAATAAGACTACTTGACTTTCCAAAACTAAATGGTTCTTTTGTTTCTTTTTTATTCATTTTAGGATTATCTAATGATATAATAACACTATAAATATAGTTATTTATTCCAATAAACATAACTCTAT